TGCAGTGCCAGTGAGACCTTACCTCAAGCAGTGTCAGGCACTAACTCTAAACTTGCAGGCTAGGCAATACCAGGCTGAGGCAGGGGGATTGTGCGTTCTTGCCAGACTCTGCTGTATAGCAAAAAGATAACCCTGTCCTTCCTGTCTGTTCCCCACTCACCAGAAAACCCAGGAGTTTACAGACAGACTGTAAACAAGTTCCAGTGGGATTGGAAGAGCTAGGAGGGGTTAGGTAGCGGGGTAGGGTAGACTTGTGGTATTAGGCCAGAACTGTGAGTGACTCACCCTAGGAACTGTCTCGTCAGCTGGGCACCTGGTGCCCTGGAGCCGATTCCTCTTAGTCCTAGAGGCTGTCATCGTACACTGGCATCATTGAAGGCAGCAGTTGCAGTCCTTGCTTTGAAGGTCTAATCCTGAGAGACTTGTTTTGGTTTCAGCAAATTAAGAAGGATCTGAAGAAATACTCTAAGATCTTCGAGCAGAAGGATCGCTTGAGCCAGTCCAAAGCTTCAAAGGTAAGCCTAAGAGGTGGCTCACAGGAGCCTGATCTGACTTGTTGTCCCATATGTGAGGGGGCAGCTAGTAGTGGGGAGCAGAGGGCCAGCACTGGTCCTTGGAACCAACACTCACTAACACTGGGTTGAGGCTGACTTTTCCTTATAGAAGCAGGAGGGGATGGGATCAGAAAGAGACGTGAGAGTCCCATTTAAGGGAGGTTCTATGGAAGACGTGTCCAGCACACAAGGCTCTGCTTGCCATCTTCCAAACTTTAATAATGGTTGCTAGGCACAGTGGGGGATGCTGTGGTTGAGCAAATATGTCCTGCTCAGCCCTACAACCTTCCCCACCTGATAGGAACTGGTGGAAAGAAGGCGGACCATGATGGAAGACTTCCGGCAATACCGAAAAATGGCCCAGGAACTCTACATGAAGCAGAAGAACGAGCGTCTAGAACTACGGGGAGGTAATCAAGCTTCCAGGCTTGTCTGGAAGAAGAGTAGTCCCCCAAGGGTGTGGACAAGAGCCCTGTAGCTGGCATTGCAGCCACGTCCTAGGAGTTAGCCTGCTCTCTCTCTCTGTCTTCTCAGGGGTGGACACTGATGAGCTGGACAGCAACGTGGATGACTGGGAAGAGGAGACCATCGAGTTTTTTGTCACCGAGGAGATCATTCCTCTGGGAAGTCAGGAGTGACTTCAGCACTGTGGTAAGCACTTGTGAATGTGAAGACAGGAAGAGGTGCCTGCTGAGTCTCTGGATGCTTGTTAGACCACAACATAGGGGACAACCCCATGAAGATGGTAGTGCCACCACTAGTGGCTGATAGGGAGCTTGGGAAGAAGCGGAGGCTGGCATGAGGGCAGTGCTGCAGGAAGGAGGATCAGGTACTCTACTGTCACCCAGTGTTGGTAGTACAGGAGGGAGGGAGTGTCTGCCTGTGTTTGTGCTGGATTCCCTCAGGAACTGCGAGAGCTGAGTTTCGGGGTAATGTGGGTGCCATTGACATGCAGGCCAGCTCTTGGCTGAAGGGACTACCTCTCATGCCTGGAGTGTGGTCAGTGAAGAATCCCTTGCTTTGAGGCTGACTAAATGGTGGTTCTTGTGTTGCAGTGTTACTGTGCCGTGCCCAGGATCCGAGGCCACCCTTCACAGAGAGCCTCGGGCTGGGTTCTCACCCGTGCTTTCTTGCTCTGGACTTCGAGTGCACCCGGGGTTCTTCCATCCCGACACAGCTCTGTGCCTTCAGCCCCTGGGTCCACAGTGGGGACACTCGAGGCTCTGCTCTCATTTGACCTGTTTGGATTTTTATGCCATGTCTGCTGTGGGGCCTCACTGCAGTGCTCCTGGTAACTCCTTTCACTCCTGCTGCCCGTGGTGTTTCCAGAGCCTCCACCTGCAGCTTAGTGGGGTTCCTATTCATGGACTGTCTGTCCCCCCGCGTGGCTTCCTGGAGACCTTCAGGGGAACTGCACACCCACCACTTACTTGTGCCAGTAGCTCTGGAGGCACCCAGCATCTCACACCTGTTCAGACTGTGGTGGGGTCTCTGCGCAGGTTGGATGTGGAAATAAAAGCAACCCTGTGTGAAAATGCTGTCTTGTTCTTCTTTGTGGTTTGCAGTGGCTGGCCTTGAGGCCTCCCGTTCCCTCTCCCTAGGGTGGAAATAGTTGCACACTTGCTCATGGCTTGTTGAGCCTCTGAAATCTAACAGGAGCTAGTGTACCACATCCAAGATGCAATGTGTTCCATCTGTTTCTGTGAGAAAATGCTCATCTCACTCCACAGAATCCTTAGGTTTTCCAGAATTGGACAGGTTGGAAAACAGGTACAGAGCAGGGAAGCCTCTTAGACACCTCCCTGCGGTTACCTGGTGTCCAATAGAGAAGACAGCAAACTGGTATAGGTGGGCTCCACAAAAGGTGAGCTGTGGCCATGCTCTCTGCAGCCTGCCTCTTGCAGGCTCCCATCTGGCTCTGCATCTCTTGTGACCAGAGCTACCCCAGGCTGGGCCTTCTGCCATGGTATGTCTGTAGAGCATGTATCTCACCAGCAGAGGACAGACTACCACAGTTTACAGAGCCACTTGAGATTCCATCATGGTTACAGTCCCCTTCAGTACCTTTACCCTACAGTATTGCCCCTTGATGTTCTTTGAAAATAGTTTTTCAGTTTCACAGCAATGAGAAGAAAAGGGGCCACAGTTACAGTACATTTGCAAGCTTTTTGTTTTTCTTTTTTTGGAGACAGGGCTCCACTGTGTAATAGCCTTGGCTGTCTGGTACCAAGCTCTGTAAACCAGACTGGCCTGGAACTCAAGGTCTGCCTGCCCCCATCTCCTGAGTGCTGGGATTAAAGCTGTGTGCCACTATTGCCCAGTGTACATTCAAAGGTTTCAAATAATGCAAAGCTTTTCATTTTTTTGAAAATCGATTGTGATTGTTTCCTGTGATTTCTAAAACAATTGTGAAGCCTGGGTTTTCGGGTATCCAGGGTGCAGCTGGAGTTTAGGGGCAGCTCCTGCCTCAGAACAGACTGATCTCGGGACTCAACTTGGGTGGGCTTGTGGCATGGTGCAGGCTTCATCACTGAGGCTTCAGGAGGCTGGGGGTGGGCCCTAATCCCTTCCCTGCCCTGTGCAAACATTTCCTGATGATCAGGGTTGACCCAGATGCTAAGGAAGAGGAAGAATGTGACCTGAGGAGTGGTAATTCTGGCCTCACACAGCTAAATTGGTTTGATTTCTGAGAGGGTAGGACTTGCTTCAGGGGCGCCTGGAAGTTTCCCATGGTTTGTGTGTTATTATAATGCCTGAACTCTAGACAAGAGTCCTCACAGAAAGCCCAAGTTTGGGTTCCATAGGTTTATCTGTAGCTTGGTTGGTTGGTTGGTTTTTTGAGCCATGGTTTTTCTTTGTAGTTTTGGCTGTCCTGGAACTTGCTCTGTAGACCAGGCTGGCCACAAACTCAGAGACACTTGTTAGCTGCTCTGTAGGTGCTAGGAATTGAACCTGGGTCTTGTGGAAGAGAAGCCAGTGCTCTTAACTGCTGAGCCATCTCTCCAGCCACTTTGTGTGATTTCCATAAAAAGCTGAACAGTGCTTGGAACACCAAGTTCCAAGCTCTTTTTGTTTTGATTTTTTTTTGAGACAGGGTTTTTCTGTGTAGCCTTAGCTGTCCTAGAACTAATTCTGTAGACCAGGGTGGTCTTGAACTCACAGACATGTTCCTAACTCCGCCTCCTGAGTGCTGGGATTAAAAGCTAAACATGGCTTGCTTCTAATTCTTTTTTTTTTTTTTTTTTTTTGGTTTTTCAAGACAGGGTTTCTCTGTATTGTTTTGGAGGCTGTCCTGGAACTTGCTCTGTAGACCAGGCTGCCCTCGAACTCACAGAGATCCGCCTGTCTCTGCCTCCAGAGTGCTGGGATTAAAGGCGTGCACCACTAACGCCCGGCAACTTGCTTCTTTTAAAAAAATAAAAATGGGTTTTAGTTCATTGTATTTTGTGTGTGCACATGTGTGCTGTGCATGCTTGTGGAGATGAGAGGGGAACCTGCAGGAAGTACCTCTACCATCTACATATCCCGGGAATTGAACTTGGGTCTCCAGAATAGAAGCAAAGTGCCTCTACCCATGGAACAGCCTCTGGATCTTGTACATACGTTTTTGTTTGTTTTTTTACATACTTTGTATGTGTGCCGTATGCATGTGGAGGTAGAGGACAACTTGTAAGAGTTCATTCTCCTTCCACTGTGGATCCCAGGGAGGGAACTTAGGTTGTCAGTTTTAATGGCAGGTGCCTTTACCCGCTGAGCCATCTCTCCAGTCCCCAAGCCTGGCTCTTGACAGCTTGTGCCACCCCAGGTTACCTGTGTGACATTGCTGGTGCAGTCTTCTTGGCCGGGCTGGTAAGTTCACAGAGCAGGACTGTTCCCTGGGATCTGTGGAAGAGGTGAAGCAGTAAATCCACCAGCTCCATCCTTAATCCCTCTGGGGTGTTCAGACAGACTCCGAAGGCTGGAAATTGTACCAAAAACTTGGTCATCTATGAAAGACTCTAGCAAGGTCACTGATGCGACTCATTTGGTTTCAGCTGTTGCTGTTTTGTCACCTTGAGTGAGAGGCCACAAACACACTGACTTGAGGTGGCCCCTGTGTGGGTGACCATCGCTCCCGGGCACCACACTGCAGGGTTCTGTAAGGTGGGCTTATCTCTAGACAAGAGGCTTCTGTGTCTTCAGAGAAACTTAAGAGACAGGCTGGACAGGGTTCTTGTCATGGTCCCCATCATGATGTCATCTATGAGGTCTGCCTGGCTGCTTATCCTGGCCAGAGACAGGTAGGGGTGGCACCAGTTTAGTAAATGAGATCAATGCTGGCCCAGCCCCACCTCTGGGGACCCAGCTGGCGTCACCAGAGTGAGCCTGGGGAGCAGGGCGGGGCCGAGCTGGGAAGATCTCCTTACTTCCCACTCTGCTAGGGGCTCTTCAGTTCTGACTTGCAGCATGCCCTCCCACCAGACCACAGACCCCTCTCCAGCCCGGAGCAGCCCAGCCCTGAGGGAAATGGAACCCAAGGACCAGCAGCTTATGGTGAGTATCCTCCCTCATGTCCCCTGCTAACTCCAGCCCATCCAGCCTCTACCCCTGCCAAGGAACCTCAAACCCTGAGTTTGTCGTGGATCGGGTCTCATCAACCCTTTAAGGACCAGTGTCCCACTCCTGGTTCCTACTTTCCTGGAACCCAGTGATACTCATACATTCTCACCCTGATTCTCCAGACCCCTGTATGCTGCTACTCTATGATCCTCAGAAGGCCCAGGGTCTGGACTATGACCCTAGCTTAGAGCGGGCCTCAAGCTGGCCTACCTGTCAGGCTCCTTGTCCCATTTGGCCTTAGGATGAACTGCATTAGAACACCACTGGCACCTGTGATCAGTTAAGAGAGAGACTGGCCCCCATGTCATCTATGTACCATCAAAGAACCCTTACACATGGGCTGGGCAGAATTGAGGGACATGCAAAGCCCAGGGTCCCTCTCCTGAATGCTCATAGCAGACTGGAAGATGTAGATGTTTCCTTTCTGATCACAGCTAAAACAGCTATGAGACCTTGGGCAAATTGCTCCTTCTCTGTTCTGTGATCATGATGTCACCACCAATTCCTCAGAGCCTTTCTGGGAGGCAAGAACAGCTCCATGCAAGCAGGGTCTAGGTTTGAGTGGGGGTAGGACTCTCATCCCCTCACTGAGACGACCACAGGTGGATGGTCCAGCTGAGGGTCTTGGTGCTGCCTGTGCCCTGTCCACAGGTGGCGCTTCGGATCCGCCCACTCAACAGTACAGAGCTGGAGGAAGGAGCCACTGTCATCGCCCACAAAGTGGGGGACCAGGTGAGACTAGACCACAGGAAGCATTCACTCACTCAACAGGCACACCTGGTGGCCTGGCTCTGTTGGAGGGCAAAGCTGAGCTGACAAGCACTTTCCACACAACTCTGTGTGTGTGTGAGTGTGTATGTGAGTGTGTGAGTGTGTGAGTGTGTGTGTGAGTGTGTATGTGAGTGTGTGTGAGTGTGTATGTGTGTGAGTGTGTGTGAGTGTGTGTGTGAGTGTGTGTGTGAGTGTGTGTGTGTGAGTGTGTGTGAGTGTGTATGTGAGTGTGTGTGTGAGTGTGTGTGTGAGTGTGTATGTGAGTGTGTGTGTGAGTGTGTGTGAGTGTGTGTGTGAGTGTGTGTGTGTGAGTGTGTGTGTGAGTGTGTGTGTGTGAGTGTGTGTGTGTGTGTGTGTGAGTGAGTGAGAGAGACAGAGACAGAGACAGAGACAGAGAGAGGGACAGAAAGACAGACAGACAACTTGCTGGAGATGGTTCTCTTCTGCCCCATCTGTCCCAGGGATCAAACTCAGGTCCTCGGGTTTGACAGTAGGCAGTTTTAAGCACCGCTGAGCCGTCTGGCAGGCCCTTCTTGGTTTTTGAAACTCAGACTGTCACTGGGACCCAGGGCTCATTGATTAGGTTACACTGCTTAGCCAGTGAATCCCAAGGGTTTTCCTGCCTCTGCCTGCCAAGCAGTGAGACTGTAATTGTGTGTCACAATGTCCAGCTATGTGTGTATGTTCCGGTTATGGGGATCAAACTTATGTCCTTATGTTTCCATGGCAAGCATTTTACTGAGTTATCTGCCTAGCTTTTTTTAAATTCCTTTTTGAGTGTCACTTTATAGCCCAGGTTCACCTAGCACTTCACTGTGTCTCCCAGGCGACCCAGTTTTGCACTTATAGAAATCCTCCTGCCTCAGCCTCCCAATTTCCTTTCATTAACTGAAAGTGCATTAGTTCCTTGGGGCTCTCTGCTCCAAAAAGTTCTTTGCTGAGACACCAAAATGAGGATATGGGACAGACAGGGTGGCAAGAGACTTTGGCAGGCCACATTAGCATGTCAGGTCTGGTTTTAGAAACTCCAGGTGATTGCTGGCTGCAGGGTGGGGTGCATGCTCCCATTACATCACTAGGGACTCCCCTTCAGAGAAAGACGCAACATGCAGTTGCCCACACCTCAGAAGCGTTTGCCTTTGGCTGCCACATAGAAGGAATCTCAAGCCAGGCTTTGTGAGATAGACAGAGTGTCCCTATTGGTCACTAGGGAGATTAGTGAGGTGGTCCGTGAGATGATGTTCAGGCAGGGTGTTTGTTTACACTTGAGCCAACAACCCGAAATGTGGGTAGACACAGATCCCTGCCAAGGGCGTCCGCTGAGGCTCAGAGCACCCAGGGGAGGGGTGCACTGGCAAAGCTGCTGTCGGGGCGCATCAGCACTGAGGTCATGAGCTGCTCAACAGTGCACACCAGGTGCCAGTGTTCAGACACAATAAAGTCACATATCAACTTCAAAAGTGGGCTGCATAGGGAGGGCAGAGCCGGTGCCTCATGTGTGTGGCTGTGAACAGTACAGAAGACAGTGCATAGGGCTGGAGAGACAGCTCAGGAGTTAAGAGCACCGGCTGCTCTTCCAGAGGAAGCACCCGCGTGGTGGCTCACAGCCATCTGTAAACTCCAGTACCAAACCAGACACCTGTAGGGTGACACCAGAATGAAGATGGAAATAACGCTATCTGAAAAGGAGGAATAATATATTTATTAAATATACTTACAAGATAAACAGGGATAGAAGCTCTGGGAATGTGGCTAACTTCCAAGAGAGAGTGCTTTTACTTTTACTTTCCCTAAATATCTCGCCAGTTCTATGTGTTTTGGGCTCACCCCTATAGACACCTCTTCTAGCTTCTGTGGGCACCAAGCATGCATGTGGTGCATACACACACGTGCAGGAAAAACACCCATACACATAACATAAAAATAAATCTTCAAAAGACAGCTCGTTCAAAAACATCAAGGCAAAGGGCTCGAGGGACAACTCAGTAACTATTTGCTATGCATGCATAAGGACCTGGATTCTAACCCCGACTCATGGGAAAAACTGGGCATGGCATCAAGTGTTGGTAATCCCAGCTCTAGGGTGGTAGAGACAGAACGATCCTTGGGGTCCCATGGGTAGCTAATCTAGGCAAATTGGTGAGCTCAAGGTTAAGTGAGAGAGAGACCGTGTTTTTAAAAATAAGGTGGAGGACAGGGCGTGTTGGAGTATGCCTTTGATCTCAGCACTTGGGAGGTAGAGGTGGTCAGATCTCTGTGAGTTCGAGGCCAGTCTGGTCTACAGAAGTTCCAGGACAGCAGGACTACACAGAGAAACTCTGTCTCAAATAACAAAACAAAACAAGGTGGAGAACAGTTGGGAAGGCAGCAGAAGCCACTCTGTGGCCTCCCCAAGCACTTGCACACACAGGCACACATCTGTGTGTGCACTGCCAGTCAGCCATGCACACACAAAAAAATCAAGGTGAAGTTAGCACCACAGAAAATTCACTTTCTAAATTTTTCTTGAGATAATGTCTCCCCATGTAACTAACCTAGGCTAGCCTTGAACTCCTGCCTCAGCTCCCAAGTGCTGGATGACAGATGCTCCTGGTTCAAATTTCACCTTTGTCTTTTAAAATATTTAAAGATTAAAATATAATTACATCACTTCCTCCTTTGCAAGTAAACAATCTAGGGGCCTTAGTCCTTTTCAGCTATACGATCCGAATAGACCCCACACGCACACATACCTGTCAGCGGCCACTTGACTTCTGACTGTGGTTTCTGAACATTCCATGTCAGTGTAGTCACACGTGTGTGGTGTGTGGCCTTCCATGTGCGGCTCAATGTTTTTGAGGCTTACCCATGCTGTGATAAGTTCAATTCTCTTTGCCTCCTTCCTCCTTTTCTCCTCCTTCACCTCCTCCTGTCCCCTCCCCTCCTCCTCCTCTCTCCTTTTCTTTCTCTCTTCCTTCCCGGCCCTTCTCCTTCCCCTCTCCTCTTCTCTTCCCTTCCTCCTCCTCTCCTCCTCTATTCCCTCTCCCCTCCTCCTCTTCTCTTTCTGTCTAACAGTGTAGACCAGGCTGGCCTCAAACCCATAGAAATCCACTTGTCTCTGATTCCTGAGTCCTGGGGTTAAAGGTGTGTGCACCATCAAACCCAGTTATTGTTCTTTTTATTTTGGAATAACTTCAAACCAGTAGATAGATTGCAGGAATGCCACGGACCCATTGTTCCCTTAGCTTCATATATTTGCCTTGCTTTGCCCTCTCCCTGTTGTAGGGCATTCACCAGATAAGGCTGCTCAGATGTGGGTTTAAGTCAATAGAACGTCTCTATTAGCTGGCAGACAACTACACTGGTGTTCTGTGTTCCAGTACAGCCCCGAGCCTTCTCAGGGTGAGCTTTTAAGCACAAAAACCATGTCCACATTTCAGTTAACAAGATCAATTAGTCCGAAGCAGAACTACAGAAGTCAAAAACCAAGATTAATGCATTTAGAGACTTTCCCAGACCTATACAAACTTTGATGAATTAGGCCTTTGTTTTAGTTTTGGCAGGTGGTGCTGTCTATACAGCCTGATGGTACTTCCATCATGGAGCCAGTTGTGCTAAGGTTTGGGGCTCTGTTTACTCCCCTGGGCTCTCACTCCATTTTTCTGGAACATTTTAAGTCAGTTTGGGGGCACAACACCCCTCTCCACCCAAACATTCCATCACATACCTCTTTAAAACAAAAACATTCTCATCTGGATGTGGTGGCTCACGCCTATAATTCTGTCACTGGCTGGTCAGAGTAGGAGAGAATCGTGAATTCAAAGCCATCTGGGCTAGACACTTTCTCAGACAAAACACAAGGGCTAAGGAGATGGCTCAGAAGGTCTTGGTTATCTAGCATCCATGTAAAAAGCCCGCATGTCTGTACCCCCACACCTGTAACCCCAGTGCTGTAGGGGGCAGAGACAGGAGGATTAGTGGGGATGGCTGATAGGTTGCCTTGCTCCAGGCTTAGTGGGAGACCCTGTCTCAAGGGTAGAATAAAGCAGGGTGACAGAGCAGGACATCTGAGGTCCTTCTGTGTGTGCCCATACACCATATACCATCACACATTGAAAACAAAGAGCCAGACTAAAAGCACACCTTTAATCCCAACTCTTGGGAGGCAGAGGCCAGCCTGGTGTACAGAGGGAGTTACAGGCTGTTGTACAGAGACTCTCTCTCAAACAAAAACGAAACAACAACAAAACACAAACTCAGGAATATCCTTGTCACATCTAGCATGCTTGAGGGATTAACCTGACTGGGACACTGAGAGAATGGAGAAAAGACAAGCACATATGCTGGGGTTGGGTGGCTTGGTTCTTGTATGCAGGAGCCAAAGTCCCTCGGAAACTCAGTGTGTTTTTTTTATACAGCTGAATGGGGAGGTGGGGTTATTGCATATCAATAAACAAGGAGGCAGTAGGGACAGTGTCTGTAGGGAGCAGTCTTCAGGCCACAAATATCCAGGGGGAGAAATCTATGAGAGGCATTGTCTGCACACACTGTTAGTATTTGCCCTTGGGCCAGAGGAAGGTTTTGTAATCTCTGCGCCTCACCCAGGGAAGGCTTTGTCACTCCCATGGAGCTGATGCATTGGGGTGCTTGACATGGCTGTGCCCATGTCAACAGCACACATTGACTTATGACTTCACTCCTTACATACACATTCAGGCATCTGACTTCAGCAAGGAAATCAGGAAGTTCAAATTGATACAGCATCATCTAACCTTGTAGATACATTCAAAATTCTTTTTTTTTCCACACAATTTTAGTAAGTAAAGAATTTTGTTGTTGTTGTTATTTTGGCTTTCAAGACAGGGTTTCACTGTGTAGCCCTGGCTGTCCTAGAACTCACTCGTAGACCAGCTGGGCCTGGAACTCACAGAGATCTGCCTGCCTCTGCCTTCTGAGTGCTGGGATTAAAGGCGTATACCACC